TAGTGGATCGTGCTCTTGGTTTTGTTTGGACATTGAATTTTTATACACCCTTGAAATTTTGTTAATTTCTTGTAAGTGTATTTCCCGTGTTGAGCTGAACGATAAAAACTCTTTTTTTCCAACTTCCAGCTGAATTATTCGTATTCCAATGGTTGTTCGACGAAGCCCAGATGGACGTCGATAACGTCGGCGCCCCGGTGACGAAACAGCAGTGGGATTTCATCCACAAAATGGGGAACGCGTTGCGCCACAGTTTCGAGAACGTTTCGGCTGTCTTCGCTCCATCCTGCATTTCTCACGCGGTATTGACCAAGAAGGAATGGCAGAGCGTGAAAATCAACGACGTCTCCATAGCGGAGGCTTTGCATTGTTGGGAACAAAAGACGACGAACAGAAGGAGATTGAAGAGGATGAAGCGACTGAAAAACGGAAAAATGATTGCCGATCAGCCGAAGAGGTTGAGGAGGAGGAAGAACCAAAGCGACAAAGTCGAAGTTGAGAAAGTTTTCAATGAAACAGATGGCGGTGAAAACGTTAAGAAAAATGTCGTCAGAGTTAAAAGGAAGCGGAAGAATAGGAAGAACAGGAGGAAGAATAAAGTTAAAGGTGAGATATTAGTTTTGTCATTCATCTAACGAAAAAATGGAACGCTTGAGGGTAATAAAAGGAAAATTTAGGACATTTTTTCTAACAAAAATGTTTTTCCAGTTTCAGTTGAATTTTTACATGATGAGACTACTTGAACAGGAATGTTTTTTCCTTGAATCAGGATTCATCCCAACTAGCAATTTCGTATTTTATAATAGTTGCGGAAACGTTTCGGATTGTGGACGAGTTCACATAACAGTTTCTTCTCTCCGAGGAACTTTCTTGGAAATGCATTGGATAACCGACTGTAACAATGGTGAAACGATCCCAGATTACATAATACTTTCCAGCAGGAATGTGCAGGATCGAGATGTGAGTAGAAAAACGTAAAAGTCTACATCGTATAAGTAGAAACGTAAACTTACTAATGTTGATTGACGATACCAGTTTTGTAGGTGTCTAACATAACATTAGCTGTGGTTTGTTGATTTTCAGAATTGTGTCCAACTGTTTTCGCACCTGCTTATTTCAACTCTGGTTTTCAGTACTAGAGTCTACAGATCTTTTGTTGTACGTTGGTCATATTCTTCTGAACATAATTTGAATCAAGTAGAAGCGATGATAATGAAGGCGTCACCTAGGGAATCAACAGAAGTCTCAGTCCTCGAATATCAAGGATATTCTTCGACATTCACCGCCGATTGACATGTCCTGTCTTTCACAACAAGAAAACTATTCGAAACCAAATCCCAAAAAGAAAGCATTTATAATCTAACAGTAGACAGCACTTTTCCAGCCACTATTGGTGCTAGGCTTTGCTGGGATCAACTGTTCTCAGTGGTCAAACCTGATTGAATAGAGACGATAACATCTCCTCTATGGGAGCGACAAAAGAGTAAATCCAAGAATACCAAAAATACACGTGGCTCTTCCAGGCGGTCAGCTGATAGTCGTGGACTTACTCCTCTTTCGCTCACATAGATGGCATAGGCCAGCAATGCATTCTTGGTACAGTCTAATACCAGTGACGAGATTTGACGTGAGACCATGCATCTGATCAACTTGTTATTTTATTAAACGGTTTTATTTAGCTTGCCCTGTTTGGGCCAAACTTAGTATTCAAAGTTTGACTCCCTTCCTGTTGACAGATTGATCTGATATTTCGTACTTACATTTAGTTTTGATGACAATAGAATTTGATGAATTATGTATCATTGTAAATATAAGATGGCCGTTACTACAAAATGGCGGATTACATATTATTTTTATTTTATTTTATTTATTAAGGAATCTACAGAACAAGCAGTTCCAATAATCGATTACAATATCAAAAACTAATTAAATAACCATTCTCAATATAAT